CGCCCGTCCGCGCTTCCCGCCTCCGCCACGGCGCCAATCAGCTGACAGGAAAGGGCCAGGAGCGGCCAATCAGCGAAGCGCAAACTGAGCCGCTCCCGCCTTCCACCCCTCGGCCGTTAGAACCAATCACGGAGGGGCTTGTTAGTTTCTGGGTCGTGCTCGTTGCTGGGCAACCCCGCGCTTGCCGTGGGAGAACCGGATTCCGAAATAGTCTTAATGCTTTTTTATTATTTGCTTTGTTTTAAGCGAAATGCACTGAAAACATCACGCTGGGAAAGAAAAACTCCACAAAAGCCCCCCGGAAGTGGCCTGAGCCCGACCCCGCAGCTTTCTGCGGCCCCAAGAGCTTCCCTCAGGCTCTGGGAAACTTAAAACCAACACAGGCCCCTCCCTTTGAAATGAAGCAGTACACTGGAGTGCTTTAGCGTTTTTATTTAAATACTACTAGAGCACATAAAATTACACTTAGAGGAGAAAAAAAAATGCCTACAGTTGGAATATTTACATACTTTACAGCAAGAGGACAAAAATCGATGTGGTAGCCAGACAGCGTCAGGGGACGGATTCAGCAGTCGGAACACCGACCCAAGCGTGCCTGGCAATTCGTTAGCAGCCTTCCCAAATCACTGTCCTGCTCAGGCAGAAAACAAGCTGTGAGATGTTCCCCAGGCCACAGTAAAGAATCAAACCATTATTTCTGGAATACAAAGTGAGTTTAGTTGAAAAATATTTTACTTACGTAAGGACCTTGGATGCTGTCATTTAAGAAAAAAGTAAGTGCTGGATTGACAAGTTCAGCAATTGAAGTGTATTTAAGTACTACATTCACTTCTGGCACAACAGCCAAACTTGAATTTTCTTTCTCTGCCACAAAAGCATGTGCTGCCTCATGTAAGGTCTTGCGTAATTTTGAAGAAGCTCCCAAATATTGCGCCACACACCCCCTTCTGCAATGCCACAAAGCACAACTGTCGAGACTAAATCCTGCAGCTTTTGTGTAACTTCTTGCATGAAGCACAAACGGTTCAGCCTTCTCCAAGCTGCCTCTGGCATGGCTGAAAGACGCCATTCCTTTCATTATAGGGAACTTGAGCGTCTGTCACAGTCACTCTCACCACTAATGTCTCTTATTAATCTTAATCCTGATGACAAGACACCTTTGCACATAGTTCTTGAAGTCATTCCCTAAGTGATGTTAAAAAATACTAAACCATCCGAGCTGCATTAAAAATATATATTCTTTAAAAATCACATTTATACAGCTAACTTTGTAGCAGTACTTTTTCTTTAAACAAATTTTTAGAGAAGTTTGAAACTCTTAATGAAGGCTGGCTGATCCTTACATGAAGTTCCTGATCTCATGAACTTAAACTTTGACTAATGGTTTGAAAGACAAATAAAGTTCAAGCATTTTCTTCATGCTCAATGTGACGACGCAAGTTACTTACACCACTTTTTCCTTTCTTCCTTGGAGTATTTTAATTCACGTTGCTCTACAAGACTCTGTAACAGTAGTTCATTTAGCTTAAGCAAAGTACTTCAATCTCAAACTTTCTCACCCCATCATTTTGCTGTTTGCTCAACAAATTAATTTTTCGCTTTTCAGAGTGTTACAAAACCATTTCAAGTGTGTTGCTCTATCACTTCGCAAACCGAGCAAGCCTGAAAATCACGCCCACTTTCACTGGAAATTATTTACCGATCCATCAGCCTCACCAGTTTTCACTGGAAGCAACGTAAGCCTCTTCTTTAACGAATTCTTTTCTTTTCAGCCATAACTGAATGATCGAAAAACACGGAGTTCTGGTGCTCCAGTTCTTCAGTCCACTTTGGCAGCTTTCTCCACCTTCAGAAACCACAGGCTGTGGGACCAGCTACAGTCCAATTTCATTTGAAGTCTTCCTAAATTCCACTTACACTCATGTTAATTATTTCAATGATAGTATTTTCCACGCACTGGCATAACCGAACGTCAGGATCCATGCTTGCAACGTCCCTTGAACAACTTTTGTTAGATGAATCTTTACAAAGTCCAGACACTTCATGAGGTTTTTCCTTTAGTTGCTGGAGACCTAGAAGATTAAGTAAAAGAAACAAAGTACATCTAAATAAGCAATTTTACAAATTGCTGCATGCTATGCAATTGCAAATTCGAGCCATCGCTATTTCATGCACCAGGCTTAACTCCACAGATTGTTTCTAGAGACACTACAACACTTCTTTTTAATTTGCCTAGGTGTGATGCCTTTGGGGTTTTTTGTATTCCCTCTCACTTCTTCTAACATAAATATCCCAGCACAGAGAACACCAGGGAACTTTGTATCACACAGCATTTGTCGCTGGACAAAAAAAAAGAGACAAAAACCACTTAAACTAAAAACACTTAAACAGTTAATCTGTGTTCACACAATCACTACATCTTTATCCAGCCATGCTGTATCATGTGTAAGATGTCAGGTAGCTCATCTGACTTTACATTTTCAACAGATTAGGAAAATTTATACAGCCTTTATGCCTCAGCTGAGGTGTTGAACCATCCTCATGTCCTCGGAAGGCAATGGCCTTTGCTCACATCTTTCATTCTTAGACTACAACGGCAAATTCCATGCACAATACTTGTATGCAGGGATACACCTTGAAATGACACAAGGGAAATAAAACAGAAGGCAGTACAAAGTTCAATAAAACAGGTACTTGCACCCTCTTTAGCCTCTAAGTTCTCTCCTCCAACCCAGTAAAACTTCGTATCCCTATTCCTTCTATATTTATGAAACAACAGCAGTAAATTCCATCCTGCATTCCAACTACACTCAAACTTCTGAAACACTAACGTAGCTTTTTTGCTGGGACCATGACGTTATTTTGAAATACAAGGTACTTCACTTACGTGTAATAATTGGGTCAAAATCTCTTGTCTGCGTAGCAACATCAGAGGCACAAACTTGTCCTATTTGTATCAGCAGAGACATAATATCCTCATACAAAGGAGGAAAGGCTTGACAGAACGATACCAAACAGGGCAGGGTCGGCATAAAAAACACATAGCGCTTCGACTGAGTTAAAACTGTCAAGGAAAAGAATACGGTTAAGTAAAAAGGAATTATTATAAAAATCCAGCCAAGAATTGCTGTTACTTTCACAATCTTAATTAACACTGTGGAATTTAGTTAAAACTACATTCAACCTAGACAAGTAATTCTGATTTACACAACAATGTATTTAGGGGTTGCTGGAGCACTTACCCGTGAGCAGAGTTCCCATCACATTGATAGCTAAACGAGCCACGCTGAGAGATTTGGGTAGTGCATACTGGATACACAAAAATGAAAGTAACTGGATGGCAAATATCTGTTAAGTAGGTGAAAGGCAAAAGAGAAATAAGTAATAGTTACAGTTTGCTTTGCACTTTCTATCTAAAGCTCTTCACGTAATTTATGAGTCCGTAAATATTCTCTATTTGAACTATGAGTAAACTAAAGTCAGAGATGTCTTGGGAATAATTACTCTGAACGTTTTTCTGCTGACACTAAGAAAAGTAGCCCAGGCATTTACCATTAATGTGCAGTACCCGTGTTAGTGCTGCACAATATGCCTCTGACATCAACGACGTTACCCCTCTTCAGATTCAAATAGCGTACTTTGAGGAAAGTCACACATGTCATTCTAGCAGGCTTTGCTCTTGCAGTTAGATCAGGGAAAGAACCAGTAGGACAATCAGCAAATGATAAATTTAATTGACTTCGAAATTTACACCTTACAGTCTCATCCCAAACTTGCTTCAAGAAGCAGTAGTAATATTCCCTGGAAGAAGACTTAGTAGTCAAAGTTTTCATGAGAATAAATAAAATTGTCATCTTAAGGCTGCTTCATCTGTTCTACAGAATAGCTTTGCAAAAAAGGTTTTCAAAATTTAACTCTTTATAGAAATCCCTGTAGCTCTAAAATAGCAGATGAAAAGTAAGTATCCAAACTCTTGCCAGTTAAATATAAAGAACAAATGAAAGTCATTAATGAAAAGCGCATTTATTCATATTCTTGAAGGTAGTAATGAAATTCATTAATATTTCCTGAACAAGTGTACGGAGACTTGTCAGAGGAGTTGTCACAATCCCCGATTTGAATGAGATTTAAAGGCCAGGCCTTTAATTAAAGGCAACAGTGCTAAAGATATTAAGCTAATATCCCAGGCAAGTGAGAACAGGACTTTTCTTAGTGATCCTTTATTTTTTCCCCTCAACCAATGCTTCATCAGGGTTAACAGGATTACAGTGATTCTCAAACTAGATGACTGTACGGTACCTGTTTTTCAAGTTCAGGCTGGGCAATGAGCTCCGGTATGAAATCCAGACAGATGTGCATTGACGGAATCCCTGCCACTGTCAGCGCCAGAAGTTCACAGGGATAACCCTGTGTGAGCAAGAAAACAGATGCATCAGCCCATCAAAGGTGCCCTAAAAATTCTGCTCTAATTTAGGTTTTACATTAGATCCGAGTTAATGTTTTTTCCCAAAACTAATATACTTGTAGATCTCCTTTGTTCAGAATTACAAACACTCCCGTATCCCAAGGCAACAGGAGGCAGGCTGGGGGACAAACCCAGAGGCTGAATCAGTTCTTTATCTTCAATATTCAATGTATTATTTGCATAGAAACTCTCCACTCCCCAAACTAAACCAGGCTCCTGTGACCCTTTCCTTCCGCGTTCCAAACTTCACCACAGGCGCCAACTTGCTTATTTCACGACTGCACCATTATGACTTTTTTAGTCACTTAAGCAGTTCCAGGTCAAGGCAAATTAACTCCTTTTAAAGAGACTGCCATCTGGCAATGAGCAATCTAACACACACTTCAAACACATTTATATTAAAAAATTTGCTAATCTTTCCCCCTTTCTTTTTTTGAAGGCATACAGCTGCTCTGGCAGGGGCAACTGTTCTCCTTCCACTCGAAAGAGATAAACTGTGCCCTCACAAAAAGGAAAGATAAGAAGCTGTTTACATGTCAAGCCAGATTACAGTTTTGAATAATGGGTATATCAACTTAAAAACATGGCCAGAAAAAGTAAACCACAAAAGATGCGGAACAAGAAATTATAAGCTGATTAGGTCGGTTTCATTGGCCTAGAATGGACTAACTATTGTGGTACAAAAAAGGGCAGAGGCACAAGAAAAGCATGCGTCGAATGATGAGGAACAGGCACAGCTTAGGTCCTCCCTTCTCGGCTACAACAGAGTTCAAACACCAAAAAATACGGAGAAAAGTAGGTACTGCAAATTTGTTGAGACAGAAAAGTGGGCATCTGAGGAACACAACAGCAGCACTCAACATCCTCTGACCACTTCACTTGCTTCTTTCTTAACTAGAAAAAAGGTGAAAGAACTAAAATAGCGCAAAGCAGACCTGAAAATGAACGAGTTTGACTATGTTGGGATCTGCTATATACATCTGATGCAGAAGGCAGCAGATCAGGCACTGGACCTCTCGAAGATTGCACAGCAAACTATCTTCTTCCTCGAGTTCAGGATTCGTAGGGCCTGTGGTACCGTGAACACTCTTTAGCAAACTATGGGTGTTACTGGTCTGGGCTTTCTCGTCTTCTGTAGGTAAGCAGATCTCTAGAAGAATCTGCACAGCAGCACTGTCCTGTGAAGAAAATAAGCAACAGAACACACATCAAAATCCCCAATGAAATCAAATAAATCAAATAGAAAGTAATGACAGTTTAAGAAACAGAAGACTGTCAGGTGGCCAGAATTTCTTGCTGTAGTTTTTTAATATAGAATAAAACCAACTCAGTTCAAGAATCACGAGTACTGTAGAACGTACAAAACCAGCAACACAAGGCAAAAGGCTAGTAAGCAAAATCTTTGTTCTGACAGAAAAGAACACTATCAAAGCATTTAACCAACACAACGCTTCAGACTCGAAAACAGAAAACCAGAAACATTTAACGATCTGAATACAGAGGTGGTTTTCTTTCCCATGATGACAGAAGTCAGTAAAAAAAAAAAATAAAAAGCTCTCATTTTTTGATTTCCTGTTTCTGCATTTCTGTTTTATCACTGTCTTTTCCTCACAACATTTAATGTCCGTTTCTTCCCTCTTACCTGAGCAGCAAGCAACGCGTTTTTCAGTTCTTCCCTTGTAACTTCTGGGGCCTCTGGACCCATTGCGTTGTTCTGTGATGGCCTAATGTCCTGCTCTGCTGTTTCTTTCAGGTGAGAATTGAGGTACGCTTTGGAAGCGAGAAGATAGCCATTCAGCATGTGCAGAGTTATATCCATCAGAGGAGGACTCCTGATACGGGAACACATGATAAAATAAAGGCACTGCAGGAGGTGGAATAGTAAGGTACTGGCGTTGTACTAATAAAAAACCCCTAAAAGCACTCCTCAAAGGCTCATTTGGTTGCAGTCTGGTTCATACAAAGGCTGTTTTCCCTAACACAGCAAAATACTACAGGTCACAATCCCTTCTGCTGCCCTGCCATTCAGTCCTACCTCTCCCACGCACAACCACGTACGCGGACACTCTACAGAAACAGGAACTGCTGAGAGACTCATTTCTGATGAACAAAGGAATCCTGAAAAGGGTCAGAGCTACATGAAGTAAGGAAAAATAATTACCTGAATTATGGGGATAAATAAGGCCGACAAGCTCTGAACTGCTTCCATAACACTAAGATGGTAGTTCTCAAACCACATTGCATTTTAAATCTCTCTAAGAGTTTTAGAAACACTGGATTTTCAATTTGCATCCGGGGCTGAAGGGACATACATTCAAATATCTGACCTACGGGCTGGGGGTTAAAGATGTCATCAACAGAAACTTGAAGTCTAGCAGAGTTGTAGCAACTCAAATGAGAATTGGACCCAACAGCTCAATTACTAAAAAGCAAAGGGGGGGACAGATGCATACAAATGAGAACATGAAGAACAAATCGACTAACAGTCATTTATTACAAGCAAAAAGATAACAAGAAAGGGGAAAAATAAACCACAACTGATAGAAAATGTGAAAAAGAATACACAAGGAATAAAGTTAGGGGCTAAAGTACATCTAAAATTATTAACGGTATCTTTTTAGAGTAACAGATGTGATTTTCCTCATTACTATGAAAAAGCAAAGTTACAATTTACAAATTCTGACTTATTGTTTGCATTATTGTATTATTTTATTAAAAGCTAGTCCATTGCTATCGCTTATGACCATTTTCAGTACTTAAATTCTCAGCTTACTCTTCTGCATCGGCGCCATAAAGCAGCACTTACACACCCTCCTCTGTCACCCCTGACATCAAGAGGAACAGATCTCTGACCTTTGTCATCTCCATCAGGCGCCCAAAGGCAGAAATGGTTACCCAAAAAGAAGGAATACGCCAGGCCCAGGAGGGATGGCAAGAGGCAGCGGAAGGAGCACAGCTACGACCTCAACCACCGCCACTGGCCACAACCTCTAGAACAAACGCACGCACCCAAACCTAAAATGCATGATCTGTGTACAAATCCCAGAGGTTCCACAGCAGAACTACTGTCAGGTTGTCCAACAAGAGGCTCGGGTGGACAGTGTGACGTGTGAAAAAACATGCACAAGCTCAATCAGTCCTCAGACCAACACGCTCAATGTGATTAGTTTGAAAATATATTTTCAAGTACTGAATGCTTTTAGAATTTTTCTACGAGACACCTTTACGTTTAGCATTCATTACCTATCAGTGTAAGTACCATAGAACATAAAAAGCGAAAGGAGGGCAAAGCTTACCTATGAACTCTCTGATCACATCGTAGCACAATCAAAGGATCAATCATCAGATCATTCTGAGTGTACTTCTGCTGTCGGACTATTTTTACCGAAGGCTGCAGAGCATTAACAGTCATCACCCACAACCTAAAGTAAAGAGATTATTTTTAGTATTTTTTAAAAGATAGTCTACATGAGAAAAGGGATCACATAAGCACCTGGACACCCACTCATCTCCATCAGCTGCATTTTTCTAGGCCTCCCAAGGAGCAACACCCCACACTTCGTCTGCAGTTCTTGAAGCTAACCGAGATATAGTTGACTTACATTCACTGGAACTACAACCACCCAACTGTTTTCGTTGCAATAGCGACCACTTCCATGGAAAAGGTCCGTTCTTACCAAAGCGAGTTCATGTCTCAGCAGCAATTTATCATAAACAATGTACATTCTAAAACCATACCCATATTTTAAGTGGTGACCTCCTCTCCCCTGAGAACAAGTACCTTCCTTCTAAATGCCAAGGTTAAACGTTTCAACAGAGCAAAAAGAATGCAACTCCGCCACATTCTATTTACACGACCTCCAACTTCCTAGGCAAAGGCAACGTATCATTATTTTTGAAACGGAAACTGGCATTCCACCTGTCTGCAACAACTAATTAAACAGTATTTTGAACCTACCTTCTCGGCATCACAGTGTTAAGGACCATCCAAAGTTTATTGACAGTCTGAAGAATCCTTCGAGGGACTCCAGCATTCAGCAAGAGATTCATATTGGATGTCAATACTTCTGCATACGGGATCAATTCACCAGCTGACAGAAGTGTTAAATGTTCTAAGATTTGCATCAGCTGGGTATGATTTCCAGGCAGCAGGGAAAATGCTGTAAAATAAAGACGACGAGGTCTTGGTAAAACTGCTGCCACTTTTTCTAACTTGGCAGCACAACATTTTCGCTATACAAACACAGTTTGATCAAATTAATTAAATGGCTTTCCGCTTCAAATCCATTACGTTCCACCCAACTCGGAAAGAACGCTGCTTACTTCAAATGACGTTATTTACCTTCTTGTAGCTGTTTGGGAGAGTGATTCTTTGCAATGTTTGTAAGAAGCATCCTCCTCAGTAAGGCATCAGTGCCCGTGATCTGTTCCTCACAGATCCAGTCTTCCACAATGCAGAGGTGCGGGTAGTTGGTTGCCAGCAGGCGCAACAGCGCGGAATGCAAGCCTTTGGGGGGGATTAAGAAAGCATGTATCTTAGATGCGAGCAGCTACATCCCTCACCTAAATGTATTCATACTTATCATTTCAACGACAGACCTTAAGTGAATCCCTGCTGAGAAGTTCAGTGTGTTTATAGCCTGATATTCCAACTCCAGTAGGAATTAAAAATTATGTTCTGGAAATGTGGCAGGGCCTTATAGTAACTCTTAAACTCCGTCTGGAATAGTTATAAATTCTCAAGTAATTCCTGTGCCAAAAATTACCCTACTCTAGAAAGAAATGCCTTCCTCAAACTTCCTCTATTGCTCTTCAAATGTACCTGTAATCTCGCTAGTTACTACTGAGAGCTTTTGAAAGAAAGAGAAAGGAAGGCACCCTGCGAACCAAACGGCAGCCACAGAGCTGGAGACACGCTCAGCCTTCCTTCTTCACGCACATCAGACTTTCACACACAGACCTACCTCCCAGTTCCTGCTGCAGTCCTTGCGCCTGCCGGATGAGGTACTTGATTGGAATCTGATCCATTAATGCTGAAGAGTAAGACTTGGGTTTTCTCTGCATGGCAGCTATAAGAGAACAGGACAAGAAACCACACACAGGAGTTACAGTCAGAAAAAATTATTTCCCCAAATGAATCAATAACGCAAAAGTAAAAGTAAAGCACTTGTCTCTATATTATCCAGGTAAAATAGAGAAAATCCCAAATAACACATCTCATTCCTGTTAAAGCATTACATTAAGCTCTTCAGGAAACCATTTCTGTAAACATTTCAATTTAAAGATTTTCCTGGTATTTAGATTTGTTCGCAAGATCTCCAGGCTATCTCTGACCAGGTCCAACTGATTCTGAGATCCTAGCTCAAATCTGCACCTTCTTTATACAAGGTTTTTTATTCTTAAAAACCCGTGGTTATCAGTTGGTACCCAGAATTCAAACTGTTGGCACACAAGGCACCCTGTAGTGAGATGCGAACGCAGGAAGAACTCTAATTGATTCTACAGAATTTCAGTCGTTCTTGAATTCCTCTCTTTGCATCTAATTTTCAGTTAGTCCCTTTTCCACTCCCATATACCTAGTATCTTTGTGCTTGCCAGAAGTGCCTCCTCATACGACAGGACATAGTAGAGCACGAGTAACTGTGTAGTGATGCTGTATCGTGGAGTAAGACGGGCATTTTCTCCCTATACATAAAACCACATACAGAGGTCATGTTGCATTCCTGATTCTCAAGAATAAAAATTTGGATTTACCTGCAAATATGAAGAAAGATAAGGCAGTAAGCCTTGTATAAAAATATCAAGCCATATGAGGTCCAAGCTGAAAGCTGCAGGGAACCTTTTTATTTTCCACCTTATAATTATTATTTAAAACGAGCTTCAAACATAAAATCTATTTTCGATATCTTGGGACAGTAATAAGGAGGATTCCAATTCCAGAAGTCCAGTGCAAGTCAATGCTTTCCTCTCATTCTACATGTGTTCAAATTCTCACTGGAGATGAGAATTCGGACACGTGAGATTTTGATTCTCATACTTCCATCAAAATGAAAATGCTTCTTTCTAGAACAGCTAGAGTACTTTAGTTAAATAGTATTTTAATCTGAAAAGATCAGATCAGTACAAAAATTACACAAATCCTACATAAACATCTCCACTCTCCAATCCATGAAGTGCCTTTCTTTGCGTTTTTAACAGCATGAGTCAGTGAGTTCCTAAGGAAAAGGGTAAGACAGGGATAAATAGCAATCCTCCTAAAAAGCTGAGTGGCTCTAACAAGATTTATTTCAAAACACGTGACCCGCACTGTAGCTGGAGGCAGTCTACTACAAAAGCATCCAAGGCAAAAAGTGAGGCATTACAGAATCTGCATGAAGCGTATATACAAAACACTGAACCACAGGTTCAGAGCGAAGTACATGAAAGAAGCAAAAAAATCATTTACCCCAGAGAGTCCCTGAAAGACATTGAGGATCTCCTGCTCCGTGACAGGCTGATTTGTGGCCTCCGGGTTGGATTTTGACGCAGGAGTAAGAATGGAGTTAATGTAGACGTCAATCAGAGGGAGCAACTGCGGATGGAGCGGGGTGGTGGTTTCACAGAGCTGCCGATAGATCCAGTCCTAGGGAAAAAACCCTCGCTGTTACACGTTCAGTTTCAAAGCTGGAGGGAATTGGATTGGGGTTTTTTTTTGTCTGCAACTATGTTCCCTTTTAACTAGTGGTAAAAAATGTAACGGAATGGGGCTTTGACTTTGGAAAGTGTAACACCAGTTCTGAGCTGGGCCTGGTCATAAACTGTGTGTCCTGGATGCTGCTCTCCAGTAAAACTTGTCCTGGCTGGAAATATCATTCTGATTACAATTTTATTAAGCGCAGATGTGGGGAGAGAGGTAACTTTCTTATTATTTTTAACTTCACTGAGGTCTGGTCTCTGGATTACGGAGCTAAAACTGGGTACCCTAACATAATACGCAGTTCCTTCTAAAAATACATGGTAACAGGCTATAAGATTCATGAAGAATTCTGTTCCTACAATTCAACCAAAAGAAACACCACCCTGCAAAACCTTGCCAACATTCAAAATTCGGAACAGAAATAAAATGAAGCTCATACCTTAATGGATACTTTGTGCTTCGTGAATGATCGACTTTTTAAAAGCTGGTAAATGCAGTGAATCGGTAAAAACCCAGTGATGTTGGCGCTGAGGTTGCCCGTAACAGGCACACGAACTGCGTGGGCCGTAACAACCTAAACAAAACTTATGATTAGCAAGAAAAAAACCACAAATATTCAACTTACCACAACGCATAAAAGTCACACAGCTACATTATTTTTGGTTGTTCAGATGCCAAAGGACGTTTTATGTAGCTTAAGAGTCTGTGTAAAACTGCAGCACACATACTACATTCACGAGCAGTTCTCTGCTACTGCAAAAAATAACGTCACAGTGGACAATTTTTCTCCTTTCCTTCCCCATTATTTAAACAAGCCAAGTGCTCAAAAAGCATAATCAGATCAGAGTACAAAAAGAAAGAGCCAGGCTCTTCAGAACCAGCAGGGCTTGGATTCTTCTTGAAGAAAAAAAGAAAGGAAATGGGAAAAAAAAAAAAAAAGACTTAGGCTTAAAATACCTGCTCAGTGAAAATCTCCTGTGTGAAGATTGTCTTCATTCTGCTGAGTGAGCTGGGCTTAATAACAATCTGAAAGAAAGAACAAAGTATTTGTTTAAGTGCTAGCTTTCTTCTTTATAAGTACTGCAAATTTATTTTATAAACTGTTAACTTCCACCCTTTTTGAACTTGTGGTCACTGGAATACCAGAAAAGCACCCACATCTATACTTCAAACGTAGAACAAAAATATCTTCAAAAGCGACAAGACCAGCACTACACATCTTCCTTATCCTAAAATCTACCTGCCTAGCTTTTACATCTCATGAGAGGCATAACTGAATGTTTCACGGGCATAACTGAACCCTCCCACAGTAATTTTCAGAAATTAATCCTTACATATACAGATATTTCTTTAAACTATTTAAAATAAGTTTGAAGCTCGGTTTGGAAACTACTTCAGTTAGTCTTCTAAAAACGTTCATTTCTTGCAAATTTCAACAAGTGATCACTTTTCAAAGATAGTTTTATCGCAACGCTCCTCTATCAAGCAGTATGCATAGTTTAATGTTTTTCTAGAGGAACTGAGTTATTTACCTTTTTTTTTTACTTTAAGTGTACTAGCAAAACCAAAGTTCTTTATGTTAAAACTAAAGTAAATACAAGTGAACAAATACAGAGCAAAAAGTGAATTTTAACAAAGAAATGTACTTCTAGAAACAAGTTCAGGATTTACCTTCATTCCCAAGGTGGAGCAAACCAAATCGATGATAGCACTGAGCTGGTTACTATGGAAATACATGGCTACCAAGAGAAGCATCTCTCCAAAAGACGCAGACACACCAGAAATGCTAACGGTAATGAAGAGGAAGAGTTAATTTGCCATAGGAGATAAGTAAATGTGAGATTACTTGAAGCTTTAAAAACAAGAGAGGCCTGCTCTCACCTTTCAAAGTAGGCTTCTTCCTTTATCATCCAGCTAAGCCACATTACCATGAGCTGCTCCTGTTCCGGGGTGCTGCACAAAGAAAATCCATCAAAGATCCTTCTCCCAGCAACTACCTCTATTTTTATTAACAATTACTAGGAGAAGAGACAGTTATTGAGGAAACTTATGGCAGGAGACTTTTTGTCACTTTTCCTTTAGCATCAAACAATTGATACACATCGATATTTAACGCAAGATTCAGTCCAGTTCTCAGGCAACTTCCCGTCCTGAACGCACAACACAGCAGAAAGCTACAGCCATTACATTCTTATACTGCCCCTCTCTTAGCCATCAATTTGTTGAATGGAAAAATGAACTAGCGAGGTCTACTTCAGCCTTCCAAAACCACTCCGAACCACGGTGATGCCGATGCTCCCCTCTCCAAAGATTCGCTATAAAGAGGAGGGAGAGCAGAGCGGAATATCCATTTATTCACCACAGCGCGAGACAAACCCCTTCCACCTACGTCTGGAGATTATACTTGTATAAAGAATCACAAGAAACAAACTGTGCAGCTCTGGGACGGTCATTGCCTTAACGGGGCTAAACCAGTAACGCCTTAACAAAGCTCCTCCTTTACTGAGAGGTACCTGACCAGAGTGGAGAAGGCCAGCAGCATGCAAAAGGAGAGAGAGACAAAGCGGACGCCAGCGGGAGTTGCGGGAGGCCGGCTCGTCATCAGCTGCAGTAGCTGCTCAGCTTCTTCATCAGTTGGCCTGAACAGCACAGAAAAAGAACCACGTCATGCTACTAATTTGAAAGAGGTTTCCAATCGCATCGCAGTGGTTAAAGATTGTCTCTCTTAATCTGTTGCCATCATAAATGAGCATCAAGATTAACTGGCAATTCTCTTTGAGTTTGAAGACGTAAAAAAATCTCTGATAAGAGTGATAAAACTCCCACAGGATATAATATTGCCTATCAGTACAAAATATCCAAATTAAAACTAACAATGCACAAGGATGGTACATTAGAACTCTTTAAAAAGTAAAAGCAGAGGAATATTCTAAACTCGTGTAGTGTATGTTGCTAGAGTTTTCAGCTGCTTTCTCTTCCACACACTGCTCCAATCAGGCCTAGACTTCTTCCAACAGGTCAGTAGAACTGATTTTGCAGCATTAAAGAGCACCACATTCCTGGCGTTACTTCAGATTTTAAAAAAATCAGCAAAGTTGATAAATGGATCTTTACCGTTACAATGGCAAAAACTTCTTTGCTGAGAATAGCAGCAGAAAGTAAAAATCATTCCTGTCTCCACAGACCTTAACTTACACGAGCTTTGCTCTCTGTACTACAGCTAAAGAAACTTCCATCAACTGGCAACTCCAGCCCTCGGCACGTGAGAAGGGCCCCCCAGCACTACAGGGGGTGCGCCCTGCCAAGACTGTTTTAAGGACACGATGGCTTTAGGAGACAGCTCGCGTTGAAAATGCCCAAAGCTCTCAACCTCTGTTTGAATGGACAGACAGCGAATAAAAACCACAGAGCATTGAAACATTCATTACTTCAGCCCAGCAATTCCCATCAAAGCGCAGTAGAGACGTAACAATGCGCTGGCTTTCACGACATGCTCTTCCTTCAGTCCTGAATACACAGACACATTTGGCTCCGTATCAACATCTGCTTCTTCAACAATGTGTGTGCTGCGAACCGTGGGAAGGATTCCCATGAGCTCCAGGAGCAGCTGCCTCCTCATTTGCCAAAGCACAGAACTGATATTATCTCTTTTTCTCTGTGTGAGAGGTTAAAAGATGAGAGCAACGATGTAAAATTCACCCCATCAAACAACGTATTACATTAGAGCTTCCATAATGATGAAGTTGAGGGGGGGAAAAAAAAAAAAAAAAAGAAGTGCAGGGGGGAGGGCGAGGAAATTTTTTAAAATACAATTTGCAGTACCAGGCAAACAAGCAGCACGTGATCGTATTACAACAGGTTACTACACCAAAACACAAGCTTTAACCAACCCAACAACTCAAGACAAAACTTCCTACGGTGAACACTGAGGATGAATGTCTTTAAGTAAACTTTATTAACTTTAATTTAGGAATTCCCTGGCTTCCATTCCTAAAAATCTCTCAAAGGAACAACCAGATAAGTTCCTTCAGGGACAGTATTTACAGACCCGTAAGAAGAAGGCTGCCTTGTAAAGGCTGCTCCAAGACAAGCAACAGGATTTATATGCGCTCAGACGAATGTGGGTGCCCACATCCAGAAATGTTGCAGCAATACGAATGTATATGAAAGCAGAATATTCAAAGATTTTCATACCTGTTGGCCATTTCGGATAAAAGTTCCAAACCAAGTTCGAACCTTTGCATTTGTTCCAAGTAGCAAACCGCTCACAAAACACACCAGGTCACTCACTCCATCATCAGAAGATTCATTTTTGGTGTGATCCAAGGTCAAAGCCACACCAAGACCTGGCAGATGACACTCTTCCACCTAGATTAAACGCTCAGGCTCAATCACCGTTGTCGTTTTTAAAGCTCCAAGAAAGATCATAATGATTCTCTCGACAGACTTACCACCATGCCTCGGACCCTCAGAGCTTGGGAAGGGTTCATTTTGCAGAGGTGGCGCAGCGCTTCTGTTCTCCGACGGCCTCCGACACTCTCCTCATCTTGCCGCTCACCATTCTTAATCAAACCTCTACAGACTAAATATCCAACGGGAGGTGTAAGTAAGTCTGGCCTTCCTACCAGAAAGCCACATAAAATAAACACACAAAGCCACACTGTTCCATTCAGCTCACGATAATTTATTAGCTGGGCCACACAAACCTTGTCTGGGCCAGAAATCATGATCTACATAAGCAGAAAAAGGAAATGGTCTCCTCCTCAGAGAAATTACAAGCTCATTACAGTCTTATGTATCATCCAATTAGTACTCAAGCTCTATCTAATGTAACCTGTGCAGCTGGCAGTCCTGGAGACTGAAATCTTATTGTGAGGTAAAGGATGCTGAACAGGCGCCGTTACGACAAGTTTTTCACCTCGTAATACATCTCAGTCTGAGGGACAAGAATTATCAGCAAGGCTAGACAGGGTTTGTAGCCCCAGTCAGCCACTGCCTAAGCCAGCCTTTGTAACAGGGACCTAGAGACGAAAAGCTGCAACACGGACACAACGAGTCCACAAGCAGGCTGCAAAAAAGGGGAGTTGGCACAATGAGAATGGGAACCCCAGCAGCACCTCTAGGTATGAAAGCATTCAAATTCTATTTCCTAAGCCAAATGCTCTTCGTGGTTTAACCCAGATTAATTACGTTGCTAGAAACCATCTCAAACCTGTAGAAAAGGTAAGTGGGACAAGAAACTTGTAACTCACCCTCATTAAAGCTATCGGGGACATTGGCCACCAGAAGGCAGAGGAACCAGGCTCCGTTTTTAACATGCAACAAAGCTTCAGCCACATCAACTATCGGCAACAGTGATGGCAGCTCTGAATAAAGAGATTGAAAAATCACAGTGTTGCACTTGTCAGACAAGTAAAATGTTGTTTATAATATACATTTAAATCACACACTCAATAAACAGGAAATTAATGAATAGGCAATCAAAGAATAGAAAATTAATCGGTGATCTCTGTCTCTTTGAAAGAGCCAGACAGCCTTGATTAACCTTAAATCGGTCACAACGACTCCAAAAGCTACTTTTTACAGTTGAAAGAAGTTGGCAAACACTATAAATGCAGAATACTACACCTGCTTGCAAAATGCAGAGAACATCTGCTGCCTCCTCCAGATAAACAGGACTCTCGAAGAGCTCAGAAGATTTGAGAAAAAACTCACCATTCGATTCTGACACCTACAAAACATTAATCATCATGACTGAACAGGTTTTATGAAGCAATTGGTCTAATTGGTCTTTTACGACTTTACACATAATTGATTGAATACATTAAAAACTGTCAAAAATGTACAGCTATAAACACAGAATGGGCAAGGAAAGTGTTCAGAATAAGAAATACTTACTACTAAAAATACTTCTTTCCAGCAGAAAGGAAAATAGCTGACAAGTCTAAAAACAAGGTAAGTTTACACAAGGAAAACAAAATGCTGGGGCGGGGGGCAAGTAAAATATGGTGGCTGATATCAGAAGGTAATAGAACTAGATGGAGGAAAGTCATAATTTTGTTTTCAAATATGATTTCTCAACTGATGCATCACAAAATCACATTATGCTTGAGTACAGCATATTATAGAATACACAGGGTCTATATCATATTAGCAAAAATGACCCTCATTTGTTCTGAGGAAGAACGACTTCTCCTAGGAAGCCGGGTTCATAAGTTTAATCACAAGCCGCCGTTCCATCAGTCTGGGGCTTTGAGCCTTGGTGAAGCAGGAGGCAACTGGCGGAGAGAACTCGCACACAACGGCAGCACCAGAGACAGAACCGGGCAGCCCATCAACCTCTCCACAGTGCGCTGTCCCCGGCATTAAATTCACAAGTGTCCAGATCCGGAGAAATTTACCTTGTTCATAATTGCCAGTAACTCGCTCAGCACGAGACGAAGCCGACGGGGCGAATCGCTGTGCTCAAACTCCAGGGTCAGCCCGTGCTGGAGCTGCGACACCAGGATGCTTTCTCCGCTTCCTCCCCCCAGCTTGTGCCTAACAGTCAGTTAAAAACAGCAATTACACGTTTCTGCAATCACTGAAACTTTACCAGTTGAAGGACAACACCAACCCCGTGACGAAATCTCGTTCCGTGGGTCGGCACAACCTGCAGCGCCTCCATTCCCGAGCAGCAGAGGCAACAGCTGCGAAAGGGCACCCTCCCG